TTTTGTTTATAACTCGAGTAGGAAATGTATTTGGAACACTTTGAAGAGTTCTTCTCTTTCAAATGTGCACAAAATGGAAAGCACAGTTGATTAACAGAGAACCAGGGACAAGGTTCTTGCTGCAAGACATTATCGTGTAGGACTCACAACTGTGAGCTCTTGAGTGAGACCACCATATCCACAAGCTGCTACTTGTTGGCTATTTGTCCATGGGCAAGTTACTTCTTTTGTGCTTTAGTTTCCTTATCTGTTAAAATGTAATTAACAATTATATCCATTTACAGGGTTATTGTATTACATGAAATAATCTCTAAATTTGACCAAAAGAATTTTATAAACTTGGTTTTCAGGCAGGGAGTAGAAAAAAGACAGGCATTCAAAATGCCTTCAGGTTGTATAGTAAAGATACAGTTTGTATCAAGTTTTTATAGTGAGCCTAAACACTCTGTCCACCTTTTCTGGTGGGGTGACCGGCTAGGGTAGGTAAGTGAGATGCTGCCTGGGGCCACAAAACAGAGTGAAGTGAAATGGCCCATTTGGGAATCAAATCCACAACCCTGGCTTCATGCACTATTCAACTGGCCAAAATGACATGTAAAAGGAAAAAGTGAACGAGATTAGAAATGTTGTTAAAGTAAACAGGAAGGCAAGAGAACACCACAGGATAACGCAAATTAATACGCTGCTCTACATGGCATCCTCTCTTTGTGAAATTTATTGTGCATGAGCGTTAGCTGGAACAGAAATCATTCCTAATAATCAAGTAACCACTCTAATTTTCCTTATCCTGCAGGCACTCCATGTATAATTCCAGACTTTCTCACTTATATTTCTTTGGAAAACTATCTCTTAAAACAGGTGGTTTTAAACCACCTGTTTTAAGAGATAGTTTTCCAAAGCCAGATACTTAATTACATGTGCAACACTTCAAGGCCAATACCTTATTACCTAATTAGGGGGCAGAGAAATGTTTATCATAACCACCCTCTTCCTACCGCCGCTCTGAAGTTATTAATGTTTATTTCAACTCGTCTGCTGTCAACTCCTTCGTGAAGACATTGATTTTGGACTCTGAATCTCTTACTCCCACATAAAGCTCCCTAAAGCCAATAAAGCTTTTGAAGAAGGTGCATTTGCAATTTGACTTTAACAGTTAGGCTTAATGTTGACCCATTACAGAAGCAATAATGTCCATTAAATTTTAATTTTTTTAGTTCCTGTACTATTATTAAGTTATTTCATAGTTAAACTTAAATCCTCCTTTATGCTTCTTTTCATATAATGCTTGGAAAATTGTCTGCATGTATTGCAAGTGATGGGAATGGGCGGAGAGAAAGGAAAAGACAGGTGCTAAATGATTATCGAATTAGAGGTTATAACAATATTTGCTAACTACATGTCAATACTGTGAGGCCGATGGTTTATTTAGTTTGTTGTTTCAGTAATATATATTACCTGGTAATATATTGATGGAGGGAACAATATTTATTTATATAATTACTTTAAGACTTTGACTTTAAAAGTAAAGCTATTAATAGAAAAAAAGAAATAGCCCTTAACATTTTCACTTGCATTGATAACTTTGACACAAACCCAAAGGGGATCCACCATGCTGGGACTGTTTGTGGAGGTGAAGATGCCAGTTAATAAGAGAATGTCGCATTCTATAAGTTCCTGTAAACTGGAAACCAGAGTCTTGAACAGCAGCAGTGGTAGCATAATTTGGTGCTCAGATGCCAACTGAAAACCCTGATGCAGGGTTTGTACACCTTCATGGCTGGTATTTTGGCATTAATGTGACAATGGCAACAAGTATTATTGGCATCAAAAAGAAGCTCAGGGAAGAATATCATTAAGAGAGATAAAAGACTCTAGAGTCTACAATAATACTCTTCAACCAAATATCTGACTCTCATATCCCGCAAAATCAGCTACCGATAGAGCAACATCGCCTGTTTTGAGCTTCACCTCTTTGATTTTATTTGCCTAGACTGGCCAGGGAACACAATAGCCTAACAACTGATCAAGAATTGGCTCAAAAGGCCCGTCGGCTGCAGCTTCCTTCCTAAAAGTGAATACATCAGACAATGCAGCAGAGCTGGAGGCAGCAGTCAGGAAATGGGAGGGTAGGCTTTGTGTGAGCAAGGGCTTTAGCTTGCTTAAGAGTCTAGGATACAGATTTGCAAATTATAGCCTCTTTAAACAGTGGCCGAGGCCACATATGAAATAACTGCTTTAATTTTCACGTGTACCTGATGGGAAAGAATCATGAATCTCAAACACCTGAGGAACTGAAGATTTTTTCCAAGAGGCTTACTTACTTGTTCCTTTTGAAAACTGCTATGACTAGGAGGCCCAAGCAATATAACTTTGAGGACCACAGCTCTAGTAGACAAGAATGAGTTAGGAAAACTGAAATATTACTTAAACCTTTATGTCCATTTATCAAATATAGTAATAACCTCTGCCTTCTCTATCTTATGAGAATAATTCTAACGGTAATTGTTCAAGAAATGTTAGCTCTCGTGTGCTAGGCACTGTCCTAAGAGCTGTACGTGTAATAACCAATTCCATTTTACAGACAAGAAACCTAATTCCCAAGGTCACACAGCTAGGTCTTAGATTCAAATCTAGCCAGTTTGGCTTTAAACATTATATTTTTAACTATTATTTATAATGTTGTAAAGAATATTATAAAAAGATGCAAAAGAAAAGTATTTTACTTTGAAACGTTAAAGGTGTTCTAAGCAGCAGTTGAATGACATTCTAGAGAGAAAAGTCTGCATTTAGATAGCACTTGCTACATAATAGTTGTTCACAAACAACTTCCCTCAAAGGACTTGAAAATTTGATCTTTCCCTGTTTCTCTCAAATGCTGACTCTAGACGACCGAAGTGCCCTACATAAAGTGACTCCTGTGACAAGTGAAAATAAAAGGAAGAACTCTGAAGACCAGGTGCCTCACACAGGGCTTGGCTTCCAGGTGATGAATAAATAAGCGCTGGCTGAATTGGAACACCTTCCAACCAAAGGCATTTTGAAATGTGCTATTCACATTCCACAAAATGGCTTGAATATAAATTATTCAGAATGTCATAACAGGAAGGAGCATGTGGCAAGTTAAGGAAATTAAAGAGAAATGGGGTATAATGAAATATTAAACCTTTGAAATTCAAAATAAAGAAACTGGTTATATAATATCTCTCATCTGTGTGTTGTACATACTTGCTGTAGGCATATTATTCTGAACAAGCTTCTTAATATGCTCAGGTGATTTTTTTTTTTTAAAGTCTAACTTTATCTTATATCATTCCTTAACAACCCCTACACTCTAGCAGAAATAGAAGTTTGGGTTTTTTTTAAACCACTTTAGACAACGAAATAGATCCCTTATGATAAGTTGGGCTTGTATTCCTGGCATCAGATCTAATGAAGTATTAGACCATATCATGTGCAACAAAATGATGTGTTTGGCCTGCCTTTAATTTCCGACCAATATCAAGAACCTAATGTATAAAGCAGGTTTTTCCATAATTCGTGAGAATTTAATGAGTAATTGGCTAATCTGAGATCTGGCATGATCCAAAACGAGGCCAGGCAAAGAATCTCCCATGAAGACCTGTATGAGAAGCAATGAGATTTGACAAGTGAAAGCTCAACTGGGCCTACATCTAGCCCATTATAAAACTGTAAAGCAGAAACCACCTATACTTAATTGCCCTAAAGAGAATAGTAATTCAGTTTCTCTAGTGCAGTCACCACTAAGTATTCGTGGGAGACTGATTCCAGGAGTCCCCTCAAATACCAAATTCTGCGGATGCTCAAATCCCTTATATAAAATGGAGTGGCATTTGCATATAAACTATGTATATCCTGCTGTATACTTTATATCATCTCTAGATTACTTATAATACCAAATATAATGAAATGCTATATAAATAGTTGTTAGACTGTATTGTTTAGGGAATAATGACAAGAAAAAGTCTGTATGTGTTCCATATAAATGCAACCGCTGTAGGCCTAACTACATAGTACATATTCCTAACAACATTTTCAATCAGAGGTTGGTTGAACCCACAGATGCGGAACCCGCAGATACGGAGGGTTGACTGTATGACACTCTGACTCACTCAGTTTCCCTTCTGACACACATCAGTAAAATGTGGCAAACACTACCTAGTTGTGGAACCGATTCCTGTTGTGAGACTACTTGGTCTTTGCTTTAAGAGCAGTGTGAAAGGAAGTCCAAACTGTCTTGGGACTAGGAAAGTAGAAAAACAGACCTAAGAACAGCAGTGTGTTTGCTATGATAGCTTCTCAAAAAGCAAATGTTGAACTGATGAGTGACCTATGAGAGATCACGGCCATAGGCTAATTTCAAGCTGGGGGTTAAGGCAACACACACACACTTAAAAAGTTATCTCCAGGTATCCATATTACATAGTGGAAGTTTTAAAAAAGGCTCCTATACAGGGTGTTGCAAAATTCTTAGTGAAGTTTTAAGTTATTAGGGCTGGGATGGGGGTGGTGGGCTGAACCCACCCTCTGCCAGTCCAACAGGATTAGCTACACATGGTTTTGACTTATCATCAGTTAAATGTGCAGCCAAGATTAAAAGAGGCATTTTAAAGGATTAGTCAACCCTCAAAAAAGTAAATTAAGGGCCTGTGTTGAAATAGCCAAAAGGAAACTAATTCAGCATGGTAGCAACAGTGCTTGGAGTGTATTCAAATGGAAAAGCTTGGGCTGGAAATACTTGTTTAGAAAAAGAACTACATCACTCCACCCTCCTTCATCAAGTAATCCAAGCCATCTTAAATGCTAAAGGTCTGACCAAGCAAGATGTATTTTATTAAAACCTCTTTCAGCTTGAACTAGATCATATCCTTGGGAATAAACAAATTTTATTCAATGAACAAGTAGAAGGGATTCTTGATTACTACTATAGTTCTTTTGTGTAGACTGCTTCTAGGTTAATGCAAAAAGCTCAGAAAAGGACATCAGATAAGGCAAAAGGCTTTATTATTCAGGATCAGCTCAAAGTCTGACACTGACACAAACAGGGATAATTATTATCTCATTACATTTGACCTTTGGCACCCATTTGAAGTACTAGTTTTCCAAGTGGGACACGTTACACCCAATAGATTCTCAGCAGCTTCTAACAGCCACATTTACCTCTCAGTTTCACTGAGTAGAGGTATCAGGAGATGTGCAAGGATACAAAGAACAAAATCATCTATTTTAGTTATCTTTTTCATTTTCAAGGATTCTTTTCTCCACTGGCTTTCAAATCGAGAGAGAGATAGCATTATTGGCAGGTATCGGTCATGAATAACACCTTCCCACAGCTAACACTCAAATATCGAACACCAAATATACGTAGAGTTCCTAAATATTCAGTTAATGCTATGGTGTGCTTTGTTTTGAAACAGCAATTCTATGGCTTCTCTTTATTTTTCTCCTTGGATAAAACCAGGAGAACCCATGCTTAATTGACCTTCGCAGTCCTGGTTGTTACAAGCGTAATTTATAAGAATCAAAAGAATTAAAAGAGATATCATTATGACTAGATTTTAAAATTACAACAAAAATATGCATAAAGTCTACACAGTCCTCAAGGATATGGATAAAACAAATCCAGTTTCATGACTGGAAGGGGATTCCTTTCCAAGGACATGGTACATAGGAAATACATGTAACTATGAGGTTACAATGAGAGAAAATATAAAACAACAGTTCATCTCAAGATGACTGATACGTAACTGTTGATTAAGGGATGTTTAAGATATTTTGCCCATTATAACTTATATAGTCTATACACTCTACATTAAATGTCTAGAGAAAATCCCATGACTTTTTGACTCTGGGCTGTACTAGAAAGTCATTGCTTTTTATGTATATGAAGAAAATCCAAAAAAGCAAGTTAAAGCCAAGATTTATTTTTTAGGTTCTGGATTTTCAGTTCAGATATATCATCTTTTATAAGATATCAATAAGAAATTATTACTACTTCTTAAAATCTGATGACTTATTTTACAGCCCCTGGAGAACTGAGGACTCAATTCAAATCCATGCTTCAGTGTATGACTCAGTTTATAAAAATCTTCCTCTTCTAAATTGCAAAAAAAAAAAAAAAATCATAACCCCTTACAGAACCTAATATTGAGTTAGTAAAAGAATAGATTGCTTAGCAAAAATATGGGGAACTTAAATCTCATGTGGGAGATATATTTGGGGGAAAAAAAATTAAGGGTTTCTAGTGTTGTTCTACTTTCTCTAAATAGTTAACTGCTTTTAAAATAAAGATAATTTTAACTTAAGAGTGTATCACCAAGTCACACACTGAATCAATATAAATGTACTTATCTGAACATCGCATTTTTACACGTACTTAAAAACTCCTCAAAGAAGTATAGTGAAAAGGTTATATATTTTAAAATGAAATTAAATGTCTGAGGCAGCACAGATCCAAGGGTCTTTAGCAGAAGGTTTCTTGGCCTTCACAGACAGGCCTCCTGCTGTGGTCAGCAGATACTTTACACTGTGTATAGAAAGTATCAGAGTAATAAGAGACAAGTCTTGTTTTTTGCCTCTGTGAGCTAGGATGTCATTATTGTACAAAAGATGCATCATTTGAAAAGTGAAGACTACTTATTCAAAATGTTAGAGTGACAAATTTAAGAAATTTAAACACAGCATTCATCCTGAGGAAGCTGCGTATCCACTATGGTGGTAGAATCAGACTTGGTAAATTTCAGAGTTGAAAGATTGTCTCTAAAAATGAAAATTAGAGTTACTAAGTCACTCTGTTGTATTTTTATCTTGTTTTAATGGACCAAAGTTCAGTTAACTTACTCAGATTAGGATCTATAATTCTGTTGACTGTTCAGGACTACAGTAGTCATCTTGGGACTTTCTATGGAAGTATGTACAAATTTTCCTCATGGAGCTGGGAGTAATAGTGACCTAGAAGAAGAAAAGTTTAGATTTTAGAGAGTTTTCTAAGATAAAGTTCAGCAAGTTACCCCAGTAAGTTGTCACTAAAGGGTATTTTGTTAGGATACCTAGAAATTTGATTATTTCGTTAGCCAGCTTTCAGTCTCAAATACTTTGATGACGATGCCTCTTTTGGCTGATTTGTACTGAATACAGTAAAGATTTAATAGACAGTATGCAAGGAAGGAAGGCAGGGACTTCTCTTGTGAACAGAAAACATTTACCAGTCCAGTTAAACGTATTAGGAACCAAAGAGGTTAAAATTACCATTCTCTTTGAAAAAATGAGTAAATTACCCTCCTAAATCCATAAACTATTCAAATGACAGCTTTCTACATTATCACCATGTACATAAAAAAATATTTTAAAGACACTTAAGCTTCAAAAATTGAAATTATGAAACCAGTGTTAAAAAAGAGAGAAGCCTAAAATGGAGTCACGTGTGCTAAGCCCCACTTCAAAAAACCAAGACTAGCAATACATAACCTGATTGTAGTTTCAGCCTCTACCAGAAAAGTAACATTTAACCAGTCTGTGACTTCCACTTTCTAGGTATCCAATATAGATACCAATTTCTAGGTATCCAGATCAACACTAGTGAGGTAATCTGCTTGACAGACCCTCTTTCGGAAGGTGACCTTCCCTGTAAGGATCCATTCTTTTAACTTTCTTTTCCCTCCCCCTTTTCTGTCTTTAGAAGCCTTTCATCTGGTATAGCTCCTCAGAGTTCCTTTCTATTTGCTTGCTAAATGGAATGCTGCCTGATTCATGAATTGCTGAATAAAGCCAATTAGATCTTCAGATTTACTCAGTAGAATTTTGTTATTTAACACTAAAAATGTCTTGGACCAGCATACTATTTTTTAAAGCCTGTAAGGTTTACTCATTAGTGAAGAAATTTTTCATTAAATTGTGGTTAGGAAAAAAGAGCAGATACAGTGATAATTTTGAGAGATGAAAAGACTCTTTAGAGCTTTGAAAAAAAATGTTCTGTAGCTAAGTCTTGGTTGGAGTGTGTTTGAAGTAATCTTTAAAATGTTTATTTTTTCTAAAAATATGGGATAGGCTCTATGATAGTAGGTGAGTGATAGGAACATTTATTAAACTAAAACTGACCTAAGGTTATCTAGCTTTTGCCCTTTAAAATGGCAGATGTTGATGATCATGACTCCTGGATTGGATTTTAATCATTCTACCATCTTCTTAACATATAGCAAGAGATACTAGGAACTACTAACTCACCTCCCCTGATTAGTAGAAGCATTCTATTTATTCTTTTTGACTGGTGTCCATAGCTCACCCAATGCTACTTCCGCTTCTACCATTATGAGTCACTTGCTTTTCAAGATTCATAAACCTATTTCTGCCAGCAATACCTGTTTTTAAAATGATCGAATTTAAATATTATACTACCAACAAAATGAGTCCTAAAACGATAAAACTAAGCTTAATGTTTTAAAAAAGTGTAGATACAGGTGATTTGCCAAAAATACTGGTGTGAGCAAGATGATTGTTAAAGATTGGGGATAATCATTAAAATCTAGGATTCTGCATTTAAATTGCTTTTTAAGTATCTAAGTTTCACTTTAAATAATCATAAACTATAATTACAAACTGGAAATCTACTTATAGATGCTGGCAACTTGCCCATGAATGACAGCTTTTCTGTAAAAAGGGAGGGAGTCTATAAAAAGTGGTTGCCAGAAGCCAGGAGATGGGGAGATAAGAAAAGGGTGGGAGGAGAGGGAATAATGTCAAAGGATGGAGAGAGAAGATATTTTTGAATTGATCTCCTGGAAGATGAGGAGGCTTTGAGAAATCAGCAACTGAGGGCTGAAGAGTATGGACCTTGACAGAAGTGATTTTAATGGGAGTAAATAGGGTTGCCAGATAAAATACAGCACACACTTGGTTACATTTGAATTTCAAACAAACAACAAATAACTTTTTAGTACAAAATTTTTTTAGTATAAATATGTCCCATGCAGTATTTGTCCTGCATTTTTATGTGCTAAACCTGGCAACCCCAGGAATAAATAGATTTACTCAAGAATAAAAAAAGCATTTTGACTTCTGAGAAGGTATCTGTACTTGTCCCCTTCAAGGTAGGAAATGCATCTTCCCACAACTGCTGACTTACCGGGCCGGGAGAAGTCTTTCCACTCTGTCTCCTGGAATTGGGGGTCTGGGATGAGGGGCTTCGTGGAGATGAATTCTCAGCCTTCCGTTTGGCTGCCATGGCCAATAACCAGTTTTTATTCTCTGGGGAGCTATTCTCTTTGCCTACCACTTCAGACCCTTCTCCACAAGATCCCAAAGGAAGAGCTAGTGTTCCACAGCCTTCTGAAGCATAAGGACTGGCAGGAGAAGGAGGCTCTGAGACACTCATACTGGCTCCCTCAATCTTGCTTGGTTTGGTAGGACCTAAAGAGTCCTTACCAAGGTCTTCCTGGTTACCGGTCAGGCAGCACAGATCCAAATGAAGCTTTTCAACTGGGTCATCAAGCTCAGTCACACAGTTGCAACTCTTCACACACTTTTGTTTCACATTCTCCAGACAACTTGAGTCTAGCCTCCTCTTTACTCTGTTTCTAGACTCAGAGCAAGCCACTGCTTGGGATGCTTTCAGGCTCACAGGAATAAGGGCTTTTCTTGGAGATGTGATCTTGGTCTCAGATGCAGGTGGAGTGATGGGTGGTGATGAGGAAGGTGTTTGGGTCATCCAGTTTCTAATGGACATCTTGAAAGATGAGGGTGGCTTGGGAGATACAGAGGAGACCGAGCCTCTTCTGCTGATGGGAGATCGGGCCTTGGCAGGAGAGGTTTTAATAGAGAACGTGGGAGTATTTGAAGGAAGAGGGAGGTCTCCAGCACAGCTTGGAGCACAAGCCGCTGAGGAAGGGGAGGAAATAGATGGACTGCTCTTTACTCTGGGGGCTTTGGCAGGAGTACTCTGGCTACTTGTCACTGTTACTGGAAAAGAAACAAAACAAAACAAAACAAAAAAATCAGAAGTGAAAGCCAAAGAAAATCCCCAAATTGGCATCAAGGAAAATTATAGCTAACTTAATCATCCAGGTATTGCTTTCCCAGTGAATAGAATGCATAAATCATTTGATTCACCACTGAGCATTTTCCTTCCTTTTTTCTAACTGCCAGCCTCCCAACCACTTCATTGTAAGACATATACTTGTAAAAACCTAGAAAACACAGAAAAGTGAAAAGAACAAAAATTCTTATAAACTTCATGCTTCTTCCCCCTCTGGACCCACCACAGATAACACTATATTTTCTCACTTTCCTTATGAACTTTCTAGAGTAGTGTTCTGTCTTCAAATTAACAAAGGAAAGGCATTTATTTATTTCTCAGTCATGGTCTTTGAATTACAGCTCTGATATTTAATTCAGTTTAATTATTCAATTGCATTTATATGCAACTGAATTTAGGATGGGCTGACATAAAAATACAATCTCTCTTTTAGTTAGAATAAAGATTTACAAGTACTAATTTCAGTACAAGTACGAATCTCAGGCAGTTACCCTGCACATTTTTCACTACTCAAACGGTCTTCTCTTGAGATGGAGAAAGTCTACAAATTGACTTTTGCCTAAACTTTTCTTATCAACCATATGTTTAGTAATGGCCAAAATGATACTGCTCCTTCAATAAACATCAATACCAGAAAACCCCATTTTGTTTTAATGTACTATAGAAAGGGGAGTGACAGGCACCTGTCTTTGGAGTGTCTGGGATAGTCCTCACATTCATGTTCTAGAGCTTGAGTGTAGTTATTACTTCAAAAGGAAAGGAACTTTTCATTTGCTTCACTCCTCAGTACAGGTCAACAGCTACTGCATAGCTGCTACAGTCATTAGTGCCATTAAAGTGGGCTGAAGTGTACATTTAGGGTGGAAAGTCCTAAAACAGCATGAGTCTCTATAAGGTGCTGATTCAAAGGCACGATTAGGGGAGAAGGAAAAGCTGGGCCAGGAATAAAGCAGATATATATGTTTCTGATATCTGAGAGACAGACATCTGAAGTATTTACTAAAGACCAGTGGGAACTGTGATGTGGTGGAAAGTTGGGGTATCCTTCCTTCAAGATGTTATAATGAAGGAAGGAAAAGACCATGGGGGTCAAAGGGAAGATTTTGTTAACTTTGAAGGTTAACAAAACTCTGGGTCAAATTTAAATCTTTTTCTTTTTAACAGTAATTAGATTATAAAAGTAATAAAAGTTCATGGCAAAAAATTCAGTTACAACAGAGGGAAATATGGTAAAAAGCAAAAAGTACTCTTTCAACCTTCTCATTTCACTCATGTGCATGCCACAATTTTCTATGTGCCTATTAGCACACACTAAGGTATATGTAGTATATCATACCTGAAAAAATCACAACAGTTATACACAAATACAAATTCTGCAATTTGCTCTTTTCTCTGGACAGTGAATCTTTTTCTCTTGACATCTCTTTATGTGTAAGTACACTTACATGCACTATATTCTTTTTAACAGCTGGATAGTATGTCGCCATACCGGCCTACAGACTCAAACATGACACGACATTAGTACTTCATCTGTTTAAGTGCATCACCCCCTATTAACCCTAAGTACTGCATGAGATGGGATGACAGCAGCATAGATTGGGTTAATGCCCTCAAGCCTTCCTGAAAGTCAGTTCCTCTGAGAAATTATAGAAAGATTACTAAGAATCAGTCAATTTGCAGCTTCTTTCTACGTGTTTGCCATCTGGCCTCATCCTACCTTTTCAATCTTATCATGTACTATGCTGCTTTAGTATCCCGTTACAGATTACTCACTGCTTCCTGAACCAGCTGTGCACTGTCACATCTCTGTCTTTATTCATGTGGTTTTCTTGCCAAGTCTGCCCCCCTCTCTGCCAGGCAAAAATTCTTACGTTTGCAGGCTCTGATGACAATGTTAACTCTATTGTGTGGAAATCACAAACTTCTTCCCTCCCTTCCCATAGGGAATGGGTTCTCTTTATTTAAACAGCTAGGAGTAATGTTTATAATGTACTATCACCTTTGTGTCTGCCTCTGGGACTAGACTGCAAGCACCTAGAGGGCAGGTGATGATGATTTAGTCATTTTTAAGTGAAGTGCCTAAAATGTACCTAGCCAAGAACTATGAAACAGTGTTTGTTAAATCTCATTACTACTGAGAGGGATGAGGGTGGGGTTCCAGGCATGAAAAAAAAAAAAGTCTTAAGTATTAGGCTGACTTATGTGACCGGATGAGGGTGGGGTTCCAGGCATGAAAAAAAAAAAATCAAGTCTTAAGTATTAGGCTGACTTATGTGACCACAGCAAGCACTTGAGATAGAACAAGTAAGGTTTCCTTCTCTTTAAGATAAGGATAATCATCTTTGTAACTTAATAATGCCCAGGCCAGCAGTTCTCAATCCTTGCTGCATAGTAGACTCACTTGGAGCTTTATAAAAATACAGGTACTTGGCCCCTACCCCAGAACTACTGAGCAATCTCTGGGGACACACAAACTTTTAAAAAGCTCTACAAGTGGTTCTGACACATAGCCAGGGTTGAAAACCATTGGCCTTGACAGTGCTATAAGATCTCTGGCTGAAACAGCAAAAGAACAGTGAACCACAGAGTAGGTGCTAGCTGGGAAAAGTAGGGCAGAGGGAAAAGAGGCTGTGCCTTGGGACTTAAGGCCTTCCAGTTGGTGTGTTAAAAGGCCAGAAGAGAAGACATGCAGTCCAGGACAGCAATGAAAGAGGCGGCCATTAGAAGCTTGGGAAAGCAGAGGAACGTAATTTTCAAATGGCAGTATGATTAGCAGCAGCCAATTTGTTGCTGGAAGCTGGCTTACAGGGTTGAAAGGCCAGTGTGCCAGCCTTTGGCACTCATGTCAGGTTGTTGCCCTGTAGTGCTCTTCAGAATACCTCTAGCATTACCCAGAAGTGGAGAAGTCTAGGTGTAACTCCTGGTCTGGTCATAACTTGAACTTAGCCTGCTGTGCTGAGTTCTACAGGAGGCAGTACTGCAGACTGCTTCCAAGGATATGCTCTAGAATCAGACTGCAAGGGCTGAACTCTGGTTCTACTTCAACTTCATAGATGTGCAATCTTAGGCAAGTCTAACTTCCCTGGGCTTCAGTTTCAGTTGTTTGGGGAATTAAATGAGATAATCTAAGTAGGTCCTTTAATTGTGCTAGTACTCAATAATGGCTGTATGATGTTGCTGTTATTATTATGGTCCAATTTGGTCAATATGTGAAACTCCTTTCGTGAACTGGCTTCCAAAATGAAGAATAATTAATGATACACTAAAAGTAAATAGTTAAAAGCAACATGCTTTTTATCAAAAATGGTTATAACCATTTACACGGAAAGTCCACCTCTGGAGATCTATTTTAATGAAAGAAGGGACCCTAAATTCAGAAAAAATTTTTATAGAATATTGGAAACAAAATGTCCAACTACAAGAAAACAACTAGGTGAACTATGGAACACTTATTCAGTGGATTATTTTAAATGTTTTGTTAAAAAGGTAACAGAAAGTGTTTAGAACATCATGCTCAGTGAAAAAATTCCCAAGAAACCCAAATATATATATAATTATGATTGTTAAAAATCTCTATGGATAAGAGAAACATCTAAAAAACAAACCAACTCTAAAAATGTTCATTAAAATTATATGAGTGGGGACTTGGTTCCATAGTGTAGCAGTTAGGATGTCTGCTTTACATGCAGAAGGCCCAGGGTTCGCGCCCCAGTGGAGTCATGGTCCATGGTCTATGGCCATGCCACCCTGAACAAGCCTGATCTTGGAACCTAAGCAGGGTTGAGCCTGGTTAGTACTTGGATGGGAGACCACCTAGGAAGACCAAGTGCTGTAGGCATAAATTAAAAAATATATATATATTATGAGTGGTAGAAATACTAATGGCTTTTTCCTCATATAATTCTTCTCTTTTATGTTTTCCTAAACTAGGAAGAGAAAGAAAAGTACATATAAAGACAAGGCAGCAAATATACATCCCATTCATGGATTAGAAGACTTAACATTATTAACATGACAATACTACCAAAACTGATCTACGGATTCAATGAAATCTCTATCAAAATCCCAGTGGGCTAATTTTGCAGAAATTGACAAGCTGGTCCTAAAATTTCTATAGAGATATAAGAGACCAAGAATAGTCAAAGCAATCTTGGAAAAGAAGGAAAAAATTGGAAGACACAGACTTTCGATTTCGAAACCTACTACAAAGCTACGGTAATCAAGACAATATAGTATCAGCATAAGGACAGACATATAGATCTATGGAATAGAATTGAGAGTCCAGAAATAAACCTTTACCTTTATGGACAATTGATTTTTGGCAAGAGAGCCAAAACAATTCAATGGGGTAATGAATAGTCTTTTTAAAAAATGATACTGAGAAACTCGCAGGATATCCACATGCAAAAGAATGAATTTGGATCCTTATCTCACATTACACACAAAAATAAACACAAAATGGACTATAGCCCTAAAATTTAAAATTAAAAAACAAACAAACAAACAAACAAACAAACAAAAAAAACGAGCTAGAAGGAAAACACAGAGTAAATCTTTGTGACCTTGGGTTAGGCAATGCTTTCTTAGATACAACATTAAAAGCACAAATAACTAAAGAAAAAACAGATAAATTGTACTTCATCAAAATTAGAAAATTTTGTGTGTCAAAGAACACCATAAAAAAGTGAAAAAACCTATAGAATAAGAAAAAAAAATTGCAAATTATATGACAAGAGACTTATATGCAGAATATATAAAGAATGCTTATAACTCAACAATAAAAAGACAAATAACCAATTAAAACATGGGCAAAGGATTTGCACAGGCAGTTTTCTAAAGAAAATATACAAAGGGCTAATAAGCACATGAAAAGATGTTCAACATCACTGGTGACCAGGGAAATACAATGAGCTAACCGGTTAAACTACAACACTAACAAAAAAATTTTTAAAGAAAGCAAAAACCAAAACCAAAAATAAAGGCATCAAAGACTTTACAAAAGTGGACTTAGAGTAAAAGGCCTCTATGGAGTCTAGTTTTGCTTACGACATTTTAAGAGATCAAATAAATAAGTCTTAGAAAAATCAACACATAATCTGTCTTACCACTTTCAATTCCCATTATCTTAAACCTTGATGGCTAATATAAAATGAATCTTTAAACTTGAATATCAAGCTTATTACTGTAAATCTATTGATAACGTCAGGATCCTCTTTGCCTGGCAAAAGTGCCTGGAAGATTTTTGCTTTTGGTTCACGTCAACCATCCTTTCATATCTACCTTCAACTCATTGACTCTCTTTCACTTCATCACACTTGTGGATTTAAACCACATCCCTGGTTAAATCCAACTCTCCGCTTACAGTGTACATGCACCTGTGCAGCAGACACCCATGCTGACTGGTCACTTTCAAGTACTGACTGCTAGCCCCAAGTTGACTCTTACTATCCAACAATCATATCTCCCTGGTTCATTTACTCTTCTATTATTTACATGACTATTTTAGACTTTATCTTTCCTCAAATCTCCATCTTCTTCCTCATACTTATTCCTGATAGAAGGTATCAGAACAGAAGGAAACTTCCACGAGTTCTGCCCATCGCATCTATCCACCTACCTTCACCGTGCTTATATATTCTGCCTTCTTTCCAATTGCTTTGGATGAATTATCCACATTCCTGGCAAAGGCCTGCCCTCCTACTTGTATTAGTTATCATTCCCT